TAGTAAAAATATCTAAGCTATCTTAATGAGGACCCATGAATGATGGTTCAGAGCCTCTTCTTTCAAAATCTAGTTTTGCCTGGCTCCCATCCCACCAACAAAAGTATGCCTGGGCATCTTCTTGGACAAATAATAGAAAGATTGAATAGTGGTCTTTGAGCCTGATTATTGTATAAATTACATGGGCTGTGTGAAGAGACAGGGGAAAGATGATGGAGCAAGCAGAAAGTTCAAGAAGAAGCTACATGCTACCTTGCAGAAGCTATGGCCACCTGAGTTTTCCATTGCCAAGAGACCAGAATCATAGTTTTAGAAATGGAAGACATCTATGAGATCCTGTTCATTCCTTTGTTTTATAGCAAAACAGGGTTTACGGAGATTTAGTGACTTAATCAAGGTCATATATCTGGTTGGCAGCAGGGCTAGGAATAGTATCTGGGTCTTTTGGTTCTAAGACCTCTTTCAATTATACCACAAAACTTAATAATCACTGTAATAATCAAAACTTAAAAATAAACCATTTGGATGAAAATCCTTCTAAAATGGTTTTAAAACAACCATTAATTGTTTTAAAACAATTCCTATTTTTATACAGAGAGTATAATTAAACCTTTTCTCTGTGACTCAACGCCATCATTATGAAGATTAATGATGTTAACTCTATATACTACAGAGTCTATGAATGCCAACTTGATGTAGAGTGCAGCACAATGCTGGGAATATGATAACTGTTTTTTTGTAGATTTCTATGAATTTGCTCTTTGCTTTTATTCCTTGCTGCTCTCAGGTCTCTGCTCCCAGTATCATCTCCTTTCCCCACCTTCTAATTCTAATTCTAAACTGTGGTTTTCTAAAATCTGCTCTTTAGAGTAATATGAAATGCAGACAAATGCACATCATATGTATTGCAGCATTACTCGCAAAAACAAAACCACAAATGTCCAACCTAGGAGGATGGTTAGTAAAAAGTACTTTAAAAGAATAGGATCTTATGTAGCCATTAAAATGATCATCACATGAAGAGGTTTTAATAAAATAAAGAAGAGCTTATGTCATAGTGTTAAATTAAAAATGTAGGATATAAAACTGCTAGATATCAATAACATTTCAAAAATGCTTAGAGTGAGGGAAACGTACCAAATGTTTACAATGACAGGATTACTGATAATTATTATTCTATTATTATACCATTCTACTCAATGTCAGAACAAGCATTTTTTAAAATATCACATCGGAAAATATAATCTAACAGGGTAGAATGATTTAAAATGAAAATATGTAGATTCCAGGTGAGAATCTAAAGTTTCTGTGACATAGTATGGCAGAGGGTGGCTTTTGCTTCCTTCCCATTTCTTTGCTGAAAGTCAGGTTTCTAGATAGTTGAACTGTGGAAGAGTAGAGGTGCTCTTGTACATGGCCTTTGGGAGCAAATATGTTTAATGGGGAAGGGAGGAAACTGAGAGGGAAAGACAGAAGAGAGAGGAGGGAGGAAAGGTTCAGAGCCAATGGTTTTAGACAAGTGTCTAAGGATTTTTCATTAACTGGTTTTTAGAAGTTTAGAAACCACAAATGCGGTAACTGTCACGCAGCCTGATTTATCAGTGGATGAGCATGAAAGGCAAATTAACCTCTCCACAGACAAAGAAGGGCATTTTCTAATTAATAACTAATCACTTCCTAAAACTGGGAGAGCAGAATTAAGAATGTGAACAAGTAAAAACTGGGATAGCTTGGAAAGAAGGTAAGCAGTTGAAACAAATGAATGTCTTCATATAAGATGTTTATATCTGAAGGTATTAGATACCTTCTATTCTATTTTCTGACTCCTTTGTATTATGATAACCTATTTTTCTTTTTAATAGCAATGACTTTTCATATCTTCTCCTCATTCTTTGAATAAAATCATTAAGATGTGGGTAGTGCAGCAGAAGGCAGTTTAGATTTTACAACACACAATGACCTTCACTGACTCATACATACACAGCCCCCACCAAATGTGTGACCTCATGCAGAAACGACCAAGGGCAAACTGAGCCCGGAGTGGCTGATTTAACATAGATGTTGCTTGACTTCTCAAAGCTTCTGAAGATCATTTTTAAAAATTTGCCTCTGCCTCCCCAGAGACGACATGCCAAGAAAAACCTCTGAGTACTTTAAACTGGTCTGTGGGATAGAAAGATCATAAATCTGTTCTCATTTGGCATGAGTGGCATTTCTAACATAATTTCTAAGGACTTCCTCAAATGTGACATACTTTCTTATCATAATAACCCTGTGAGATATTATTAGCCCAAATTTATAGATGAAGAAACTGAGGCTCTAAGACATTAATTTGCTAAAGGTCACCATTAAGCTAGAGGAAAAGCCTGGAATTCAGATTTCCTACTCTCAATCCTGTAGTGATTTCCGCTGTTTCATGCTGCAAGTTTATTGATACATTAATTCTGTGCCAAAGCATTTGCTCCCAAAGGCCATGTGCAAGAGCACCTCTGCAGACCAGTAGTTGCTCAACAACATGCAGGTGAGTAGAAAAATTCAATGGTGGGAAGTTGTGGCTGGTTGCAGTAGGGCAGTGAAAGCCCAGATTGATTTATAAAAGGAGGTTGGAGTCCCAGCTCTACGGCTAAGTAACTGTGTTACTGTAAGCAGGTCTATGGGCCTTAGTTTTTTCACCTTGGTATCTACTTAGGCCCCTTCCTCACAAAGACTGCATCTCTCTTATCTGCACAAACCCAAATTCATCATTTGTCCTTCAGGGTTTAAACCAATGTCCTCCCCTAAAGAATTGAACTCCAATAGCTTGTGAATACTATAGAGCAGTGATGGCGAACCTATTACACTAGAACTCACCGTCCTTCAGGGTTTAAACCAATGTCCTCCCCTAAAGAACTGAACTCCAATAGCTTGTGAATACTATAGAGTGTACTCATTCCCAAAATCCTCAGGAATTCTTATTCAGCAGTCATATATGTGTGTTTTAGCTCTCCAGCTAGACTTTAAACAAATCTGCCTTGCTGGTGTAAATATCAAAAATATAAATCTTTGTTTTACTATGGTTGCAAATATCAAAAAATTTCTATATGTGACACGGCACCAGAGTTAAGTTAGGGTTTTTCAAAATGCTGACATGCCGAGCTCAAAAGGTTCGCCATCACTGCTATAGAGTGTACTCATTCCCAAAATCCTCAGGAATTTTTATCAGAAGTCATATGTGTGTTTTAGCTCTCCAGCTAGACTTTAAACAAATCTGCCTTGCTGGTGTGTGTTGTGGGTTCGATTCCCAGTCCAGGTAAGGGAGTGTGTGGGAAGCAACCAATAGAAGCATCTCTCTCTCATACATGTTTCTCTCTCCTCTCCCCCATCCCTCTCTCCTCATGCCTCCTTTCCTTCCACTTCACTTTCTCTAAAAATCAATGAAAAAAATATCCTTAGTGAGGATAACCTAAAAAAAAAGTGTTTTCAACATCTCTAATTCCTCTCTGCCTTTTCAAAACTCTTCCCTCTTCCTTCCACCTGCCTAGTATATCACTATGCATTGGACAAATGCCTACTGAACGAATGAGAACCTGCATTCAGGCGGTGAAAGGCTGGCTTGATTTGTAATAGGAGGTTGGAGTTCCAGCTCTACAGCTAAGTAACTGCGTCACTGCAGGCAAGTCTGTGAGTCTCCGTTTTCTCATCATAAAATGATTATGGGGGTAGGAAGTAGGTGAAGTATATGAGTTCCATGATCTCTGAGATGCTATAAATATTATTTTGATTGGGCCAACCATAGCCTTTACTCCATTAGGGGTGAGAGAAGAGATGAATGAGAATTCCAAAGACAAGAATGTGAAAAACAAGGCAAACACAGTAACCAAATATCTAACCACCCAGCAGGCAGAAGAAACCAATGTGTCTGGAAAATTAATGAAGTAAAGAAGAATCAGAGAGAGCAGAGATGTCTTAGGCAAGGCTTGAAATGTGAATCTTGTCTGAGAGGGAGGCAAAGGGGTAATAAGGCAGAATATAAATGGGGACAGCTTAATAACTAAAAAAATTGCATTAGTGTTTAGGCATGTGTAGCATAATGTTTGTTTTTTAATTTACTCTTCTGTTTGCTATTCAAGCTTGAAATCAAATGTTAAGAACATCAGCACTGGGACTGCTTAGGATCAGGAGAAAGAAAATGAGATGCATGCTAACAACTTCCTTGTGGAAATAAAAACAGAAGGTCCTAGTAATAGGGATTGATACTACCAACATTTGACTATTAGAAACGTTATTGTCCTACACTTTCTTCTCCATTTTGTTGGGGGGTGGGCAGTACGGCCATTTTAATTAGGATATTTCTCCTAAGTTTAATTTTATTAAATATTTTAATAATTCCAAGTAATATTGCACTGGTTTCATTAAAATTTGGGTTTTAGCGGACAGACCATGTAATAAATAAAAATGGTGTTATAACGAGGTCTGTCTATGCCTTCAATAATAAGCTCCCTTGGATAGGATGAGCTGATGGGAGGCAAAGAACCAAAGTATCTGGTATGATAAGAGGAGCTAGGATTCACATAAGGAGTTAAAGAAAAAGAAAATCAAGTTCAGTTTGAAACTTTAAGAAAAAATGGCACCTCTTTAGAAAAGAAATTCTCTGAAATTAAAAAATAATACTTGAAGCAAATAATAGTTCTTGGATTATCAGATGCAAAAGTTTTCAGCTGGTATCTGAAACTGAAGTGACACTTCAAAAGATTAAATCAGTAAGAGTCCATGATTGATAAAAGACCAGAAATTTCCTTTTAAAAAAAGAGCAAAACTGTAAAAGGTATTTGATATTTAAGAGACATTTTTAGGAACCTCCTGATGAAATTTTTTATACTAAAACTATACTATCTAACTTTGGGTCCAGTTTGTCCTTCATCTTCTACCTCAGAAAAAGGGCCTAAATTTAACCAATGTATAAAGAAATTTCTGCAGGGAGAAAAAATCGTGTGACTGTGTGTGTATGAAAGACAACATACCTGCTTCATCATAGGATACAGTCAATTTTTCTAGCATTTCTCGGTCAATCGACAAAATCTGCTGTTCAAGGATGGTCTGATAAGACAAAACACTATTTTCTTTGTCTTTCTCGTAGTCCTGTAGATGCTGTTTAAGGGCCTCTGGGAGTCGAGATTTTACATATTCAGCTGCAGTCTGCAAATAAAACAGGTAAAAAAAATTAGTATGTCTCATCTTAGCCTTTTCACTTCGTCTTAGGTGCTGCAGTGAGAACTCAAAAGTACTGTGGCACTAACCCTTTAGACAACCATGTCCTTGTCATTTTTAGTCTCCACTGTGCCCAGTAAGGTGACTCTTCAAATAGGCAGAATCACAGACCTCTAAGAGTTTTCTACCAGGTTGAAAGGTCTAAAAGATGATAGATTTAGTTCGTCATTCATGGAGTTAGTACTCGAAGTTTCAACTATCCCACTGAACTCTGAAGGCCCCATCATAGTAATCTTACTGGATATAAATATGACTGCCCTTGTCTAGAATGCAGAAGCCAGTCACTCGTCTCAGCAGAAGACAGTCTATGCTATGCCAGCCATATCTCTACTTTGTTTTGTTGTTCTCTACTCATTAATGCTCACGCAGGAATTCTTGTGAAGGGAAGAGAACGGAGAGCCCTCTGCACGAGCTGATAATGGAATAGTGGGATAAACGGAAAAAGAAAATATCTAAGACAATGATATCTGTTAGCCAGAAAAAAAAGAACTGTTCACCACTGAAATGTCTCGGCCTTTATATACATATTATTCTTAACTTGACTTTGTTCTGCTTCTACACTATCTCACAATGCACTCCCAACTAGGGACATCTGAAATTACATGCAATGATTTTCAACCCAGTAGGCATGCTTCCCTTGGAGGTAGGAAGAAAGGCATGTATACTGTGACAAAGACCTCCCTGAAGTTTCTAATATATTCGTCTGGGGGGCTGGGAAGATAGCACACTCTTCCCCCTTCCAGCCAAGAACACAACCAAACAGAACTATAAGAAAGAAAATAAGTGATAGAGTGGCATGTATGAATCAGAGACTGAAATTCTTAACACATATTTCTTAAGAATGCCAAGAGTTTAACATCTCCTTGCTGTGAATTTGATAAAATAAATGAAGGCATCCCATTAGAATTAGGTGCTGCAGTGAGAACTCAAAAGTACTGTGGCACTAACCCTTTAGACAACCATGTCCTTGTCATTTTTAGTCTCCACTGTGCCCGGTAAGGTGACTCTTCAAATAGGCAGAATCACAGACCTCTAAGAGTTTTCTACCAGGTTGAAAGGTCTAAAAGATGATAGATTTAGTTTGTCATTCATGGAGTTAGTACTCAAAGTTTCAACAACTATCCCACTGAACTCTGAAGGCCCCATCATCTTACTGGATATAAATATGACTGCCCTTGTCTAGAATGCAGAAGCCAGTCACTCGTCTCAGCAGAAGACAGTCTATGCTATGCCAGCCATATCTCTACTTTGTTTTGTTGTTCTCTACTCATTAATGCTCACGCAGGAATTCTTGTGAAGGGAAGAGAACGGAGAGCCCTCTGCACGAGCTGATAATGGAATAGTGGGATAAACGGAAAAAGAAAATATCTAAGACAATGATATCTGTTAGCCAGAAAAAAAAGAACTGTTCACCACTGAAATGTCTCGGCCTTTATATACATATTATTCTTAACTTGACTTTGTTCTGCTTCTACACTATCTCACAATGCACTCCCAACTAGGGACATCTGAAATTACATGCAATGATTTTCAACCCAGTAGGCATGCTTCCCTTGGAGGTAGGAAGAAAGGCATGTATACTGTGACAAAGACCTCCCTGAAGTTTCTAATATATTCGTCTGGGGGGCTGGGAAGATAGCACACTCTTCCCCCTTCCAGCCAAGAACACAACCAAACAGAACTATAAGAAAGAAAATAAGTGATAGAGTGGCATGTATGAATCAGAGACTGAAATTCTTAACACATATTTCTTAAGAATGCCAAGAGTTTAACATCTCCTTGCTGTGAATTTGATAAAATAAATGAAGGCATACCCATTAGAAACTGAAGTAAAAGAAACTGTTAAAAAGAATTGTCCCTGGGGGATGGGCCCAGAATAAGGAACAGCACACCTATATAATTTAACATATTTTAAAAATTTTCTGTAATTAAAAAAAATTATCTTTAAAATATAATTTTTGTAACCTTCATAGTTTTTCTTTTAAATGTTGCACAATTTAAGATGAAAAAAAACTTGCCAGAACAAACAACTGACCTCCCAGGAAAAGTCCACTGGAAAGTTATTTTTCAGTCTTCGAGTAGCCAAATATAGCATACAATACTTTTTATTTCCAGGTTTATATTTATATCCCCTAATTAAGTTGTTGATGAAATTACAACTTTAAAATATCACCAAACATTGCTCAATTTACCTGCTAGCCACCTATTGCAGAACAAATAAAGTTATTTCACAAAATGTGAATGGACTCAACATGTTAACACTATATATTTAATTCTAGAGTTTAATGACAATTTTCTCCTGATACTGGACAAGGAAGAGGCATACTGCAAAATAACTATTTTTAAACTCAGATGACCTTGCTATTCAGTGTAACATCTGTCTTTTTTCCCTTGGAAATATCTATGAGGCACAGGAAGTAATTCTATAATGAATAATTCTACAATGCATATTTTTATAAATATTGGTGTGCTCTGTGTTACTGAAAGCATACCACACATTTCCTTCCAATTATGTCCACTGATCTACTTTTTTGAAACTCTGATATTGGTCTTTAAACAGGATTTATATTTTTTACTATATTGAAGTTATAGTTTGGCATTTCATTTCTAAAATAGTATAACTCCATATATAGAGTTCTTTCCATTGGGAAAGATTCTTTGGAAGAACAGAAAGAAATAATTCTAGCAAAGTACTAGATTCTGTCAAGATATTTCAAGAAATCACCTTTTATACTGAGGTGATGCTCTAAACGTATTCAAATGGCAGTTAAATCCTTATTCTCAAGCACGTACCTTTGCTTAAAACCAGGCTGTCACACAAATACCGTATGATCTCACTTATGTGTGGAATCTAAAAAAAGAAAAAAACTCCAACAAACCAGAAACCAAATTCATAGATACAGAGAACAATTGGTGGTTGCCAGAGGTGGGGGATGGGGGCAGGTGGGAGGTTGCAAAATGGGTGAAGGGGTCAAAAGGCATAAACTTCCAGTTATAAAATAAGCACTGAAGATACAATGTACAGCATGCTGACTATAGTTAATAATACTGTATTGTATAGTTAATAGTTGCTAAGAGAGCAGATATGAACAGTTCTCATCACACACACACAAGATGTAACTATGTGTGGTGATAGATGTTGACTAGACTTATTATGGTGATCATTTCTTTATATATGCAAATATCAAATCATTATGTTGTATACCTCAAGCTAATATAATGTCAATTATATCTCAATTAAAAATACAGGCTGTAATATTAACTGAGTTTGGAATTATTGCAAAAGTAATATATAATACAAAGAATAATTTAAAATTTCACTAGAATTCAAAAATAAAGCAAAAAAATTTTAAATATAGGATGGCATCTGTTCTCTAATCAATGATAAGAGCTTCTAGAAGTTGAAACCCTAAATTGCATATTCTTATAATCTATTTCAGAAACAATAATACAGGATGGGGCAGAAGTAGGTTTATAGTTATGAGTACATGAAATACATTTATTCTTGTATTACTACCTATTAACTAGAGGCCCGGTGCACAAAAATTTGTGCACTGGGGGGGGGGGGGGGCCCCCCCCCC